CGAAATTAAATCTCTTTTTAATTTACGAATGTATCATACCTTTATCAGGTTCTTATAATCATGTTATTATCATATCGTACATCTTTATTTTAACTGATCCCATTTGGATGACTTTACACCATAAGTTCTTCCCTTAAGCACATCTCCTTTTTGGGTGAGTTATAAGCGGAGAACTAACACCGTTGTTGTCATATGAAACGAATACACAGACAGTCCAAAGACCGCCCATCCTGTGGCTTGGTGGCATGTGGAGGCCATAAGTACCTCCGTCTCAATCTTTTTGTTTGTGCATAAACATTTTGATTGTTGCTTTTTTTTTATAGCTCAACAGGCTGCTTTGATTTGGCCCGCCCTTGTGCAATAGTAACACTGAATGTTGTTAGATTTACTTTTTGTCTTCTTTCCTAAACTCACTTCTCAATCTAAAGTTTAAAGCTTCAACGTGACTTTTGAAAGTTTCCATTGTCAACTATAAATCTATAACTTATTTTGACACTCGGGTTGAAATCATAATATCGAGAGAAATTGTACTCTTTCAATATAAAATTATTTTTTTTAAAATATATAAAAATAATAATAACAGGGCCTTGTCTTCTTTGATGGTGTCATTCATATTTTCTAAATCCATAAATTTTAGTTTGAAAGACATCTGCTTGAGGGCCATTAAAGCTTAATCTTCTTTGTTTTGTGATAATATCTTAAAGTACTTCATTGGATATGCACATAAATAAGATTGTCACGATACTTTGATCAAATTCTATGCTTTTCATCATTATACGTTATTTTTTCTATCCCAAAGATGATGATTTTCTCCTTTACCGTCCAGTAGTTGACGTTTCGATCCATTTTTTTGATCTTATCGATGAAGCCTAATGACCTTATAATTTAGTAAAAAGACTCTGGTATCATATATTGGAAGGATTAGTAGGTTACCTAACCACAAGATATAAATCGATAAAAAAAATTGAATGACAAGACATAAAACAAAGATAAAAGATTTAACGTGATTCTGATTACAATAATAAAAAAAATCACAAAGACTTGAATCATAGAAGCGTCACAACACCATCTTGACTTAGAAAAAAAATCTAAAGTTTACCAAATAAACCAAAAATTACAAAATTACCGCTGTTCATCAATGTTGACCAGGGTTGACCAGTCAAATTCCTCTTCTTCCTCTTCTCCGCAGGTGCTGAATGAGCACAGTGACCGGCCGGCGACGGAGATCGGCGACCGGACTTCACGCCGGAGAAGAACTTTGGTCGGATTTGGGCTCCTTACTCACTTCTCCTCTCTTCCTCTCTCTCCTTCGCTTCCCTCACTGTTGTTCCCCAAAGCTCCATTTGTAGGAGCAAGGGAAGGTGGAGGGCTCGCCGCCTGCGAGCGGAGAGGTGCGACTGCGGCTGCGGCGGACGACTTCGGCGACTGTGGCTGCGGGGGCCGGTGCGGGCACACGGGGAGGCGGCGATGAAGACAGCGGGCTGCGGCCGCGGGGAGGACTGCGAGCGTGAAACGCCCCCGCGTGCGGTGGTGCACTGTGTGAACGCAGGCGACGGGAACGGCTGCGGCGAGGAACGCAGGTGGGGCCGGTGAGAAGTTGACTTCGGTCAACATCCCGAGTTGATTCGATTCGAGCCCGAATCCGACTCAATTTTGAGTCACTTCCCAAACTTATTTTGTGGCAGTCAAGGAAAATTATTTTGTGGTCATTAAATATGTTGAAGCAATTAACGTTTGTTGACCAAAAAAAAACTCAAGCAGGAATTCTGATTACCAAAGAAAATATTTCTCGAGATGGTTATTCAATTTTCAATCTTTAGCACCCGAATGATAGGCATAAGAAGTCTATACTCTCATAAAATTTTTTTTGCTTTGTTGAACACAAATTTATTTTGAAAAAATAACTATGTTTCTTGTAAAAAAAAATTCCTAAAAAATTAAGAATAATTTAAAGAAAGAGTCCCATGGTCAAATTACATAGATTACTTAATGTTGGTATCTAACCGGATAAATTATTGTATGATATGTTTAAGTTTTACGAGTGATAGAGTCAACCAATTATCTTTTGTATTTGTAGTAATAGAATTACTCTACAGCTGGAGATATAAATAAAAAATAAAAAGATTTCTATTAGCAATCCTTTTTGTTATCTATAATTTTATTTTGAATATTTTTAATATTCCTAATATACTCCTCCATAGAAGGACATAAATATCCTTATCATCTTTTCCTTTTTCCCTTCTCTTAATCGTAAGCATGAAGACCGGAAGTAAATGCCTTCATACTAATCTTCTTTTAATTGAAGCGAAGATAACAAATAAATGATCATTCGAGACGATATTATAATTTTCTTTCATCTAATTATGTTCAAAATCATCATCGATTATACTAAAAAATTCTATAAGTTGTTTGTTCAAAATAATACTCAAGAACAACTTACTGCAAGATATATTGATGGCTTGTGAGTTCTGATTCAAGATGAAGTGGAGCCAAGAAAGTAAAACTTGTGTTAAAAATGAAAGTAAAACTTCTTAAAAGTGAAGCCAAGGAATATTTTAATGTTTCTTTGTTTTCTTCGATTTTATATTTTTTTATATTCAAAAACTAATCAAATAATAAAAATATATCCAAACTAACTCGCAGGACAATCTAATCACACTAATCACTTTTATACTTGCATCAAATATAAATAAGTAGGATACTATATGAATGAGTATAAATAAACTAACACACGAGTCGACTTTACTTTGATGAAGATAAAGATGTCAATGAACAATTAAAATGTATTAGAAAATCAATATATGATGAATAGTCGATGAGGTTTATTAAGAAATTGTACCCGACTTGGTAATCCCTTGAACTTGGATGGGAATCCATCCAATGGTGTCAGTGATGAAGTCAGAAGCGAAACCATTGGAGACGAGGGAGGAGAGGAGGAGGTTGAGGTTGGACTCATACATGTTGTTGGCAGTAAAGTTCACGGCACTTGTGCTGCAGACTTGCCAGGTGAAGGCAACGGTGGGCGAGGGACCGAAGAGGAGGATGAGGTAGAAGAGCAAAAACTGGGTGGAGCTGATCCGGGAAACATATGTGGTTACCCCGTGCTGTGGGGTTCGTAGCTTCAAATATGCCAATACGTCCTATTTTAGAGACTCAGCTCAAATAGAAATCGTGTAGTCTCCATTCTCAGTTAGCCATTTGTGTACCAAAAAGACGAAGTCATCGTTGACGTATGTAAAGCAAATCCCGTTAGAATCATTATTATGGAGCTAAGATTGATGATGAGTCTAAAGACCATGGCATAAAGGAGTTCATTTATCTTCTTAATTCCAGGATAACAAATAAGTATTTGGCCACATGATTCCATACGCTAATTTTGTGCATCACATAGTTTGAAAGCAACTAAAATTCCAATGATTATTTTATATGTTCATTCTCTCTCGTTTGTTGATTGTTCTTAAGCTTTTATTTTACTCTCCTTTTCAGTACACTTCTTGCGTCGGGTAGGCGATCAAAACAGATATGCACAGATCCATGTCACATTTTAGCTTTGACGAAGGAATGGAATCCAAGAAAAGCTCTTACCAAGTCTTCGAAGCTTTGGAGCGGAAATGGTGTGGAATAGATGGGTGGAATGAAAGCGATGCATCGGACGCTTGTGGTAGATAAACTTTTCATGAGCTGTATCAGTGCAAACAACTCGTTGGAGCAGCTGTTATGTGTTGACCGAGTGTCATTATTTTTATGCTATATTGGGATTAATTACATATTATTCATTGTAGTTAATTATTATTAATATTTTAATTCATATAATTTAAAAAATTATATTGATAATCTTATAATTACGAAAGTGAAATATCTATTTTAATCTATATAATTTGAAAAGTTATATTCGTATCTTTGTAGTTACGAAAGTAAAATATTTAGGTTCATTTATCATAATATCGTCAGTGAAACAAAAAAAAAATTAATATTTCAGTTCGTGATGACGGATGACGTCGATGATAGCAAACGATAATGCCTCTAGGGGCGTGATTAGTTGTACATCGCTCAACAACTATGATTTTGATTTTGATATCAAATTCAGATCCAATGGTATAACCTTGAAATTACATATTGCAATAATGTCACATATAACAAGGAAAATATTTATTACATTATCGTAGCCCTTGTGCTCGAAGAAGGATTAACATTGTCCTTCTATTTCTATCGTAATTCTGGTTCTGACATTGAAACTTGGTTTACTGACATTGTAGCAACCTTGTCACCGTTCCCCATATAAAATGCAGGTTGTGAAGGAGCTCGGAGAGAGACAGTTTCACTGTTGAGCATCACCACTATCGTTGACATAGTTGGCCTATCAGAAGGATCTTCCTGAACACATAATAGCCCAATTTGCACGAATCTTAACAGCTCGCTTTGTTGGTAGTGACCACCCAAGGCTGGATCGACTATCTCCAAGGCTGATCCGTCTTGCCATTTCTCCCATATCTGTGCAAAGGAAAAGATAACTTGAAACTCAACTCAAATGCATCACAAAAGTCGGAATTAGACTTCGGTAGTAATGCAAAGCCAATCAATGTGATTTGTGACTCCAATTGGCTACTCACG